CTTCTGTAGCAAAACCCTTGGTCTCTATGTAATGGCCAAAAATCCTTRAAAAATTTTATCAGGTGCTGAGATACATCCCAGTTGCAAATATGGGATCCACAGAAAGAGTGATGCAAAGTTACTGCAAACACTTTTCCACCATTGCTGCTCCTAGTGACAAGGTTCTTAACGTGGCTCTCAGCAGAAGCAGGGACATGCTGATTGATTCTTGTTCTTAATCGCTTTCCTTTGGCAGTAGTTATCTGTGGGAATCAGCTGGACAAACACGGTCACAGGGGAGCACTTCTGGCTGGGTTGGAGTGGAGCACTGAGTCTCACAGGACCCCTGCAGAATGAGTTTGTTTTCTCCTCCACCACAGAGGCACAGGGATCAGCCTCTATTCTTCATTTCCAAAGAATCAGGAGGATTAGTGAAAGACAGGTTAGGGAAACTGCTGGCTTTCCAATGAGGTTGCAGCTTAGCAGCTGTTCTCTTTAATGAAAGTAAAACTTTTGACTACGTGGGTAGAAAAAGCTCCAAATCTGTTGGAATCTCCCTGTATCTGTTACAATAGGCAGCTTAGATGCTGACCATCTAGACTGAGATTTTGGCTGCCATGATTTTGCCGGAATAAATAACTATTGGGAAAATCTGAAAGTCTTCCAAGTGATCTCCTTGTTCCATACTGATTTTAGACCTTTTAAGCTGAGATTTTGTAAGAAATGTTAGTCTGTATGGGGAAAAAAATCATCATTTGATGAGAAGRTCAGACATCCAAGACTGCTCTTGCTGTGTTTCTGAAAATCAGGCAAAATCCAGTGAGCATAGGAATGCCTACAAGTTGTAGGCTGGTTTCCTACTTCCCTTTCTGCCTTTTGTAATGAACAGGACCATGGAAAACATGGGCAAACAATTCATAGTCATGCAATTTAAGACAATACCACATTTTGAAGGTGCCTCACTTCTGAGTGCTTTGTTTAGCTGCATCTCATTGTTTTAATCTAAGAAATGCCTTTTGTTTATATATGTGTGGTGGCAATGTTTTGTAAGGATGATACAAGAGCTCTGCAGCAGTTTTTATATGAATTATGAAAAACCTTTCACAAACACTGATATTGTTTTCAGTTGTAACATTWAACATACTGTATTTCATTTACAAAAAATAATTTTCTTAATTTGTTGTYTTGTATGTGAACCTGCTGTTTAAGAACATCCTTCAAAGAATTTTTTGTGCATTTTTTTTCATCTCACACATGCACAGTGTTGGCATTAATTTCTCTTTTTGGTACATCTGTTTGCTGAAGGTTGTAGAAACATTTCTGTGCTAGAAAAAATATGTGCTAGGTAGTTAAAAACTGGCATATAAAGCTAAAACTTATGCATAAGGATGATGGTACTGTTACTCCTTATTTCATAAGGAGTCACAGTGAGTTTTATTTAAAGAAATACAGATATTCTGTGATCTGAGGGTGTAGGGATRTATTTGTAGGTGTGTACACATATACATGCAAGATTTTGTGTATCTGAATCAGAAGATCATCTCATGGCTCATGTATCCTGTGTTATTTGGTGTACACATGATTCATAGAGCAAAAGCTCCTTTGGAGTCTTGTGCTCATCTTTTCCCCTAGAAAAGAAAGGTCCTATTCATAGTCAGGAATCTTTAAAGCACTAAGCTGCAAAAAAAACCCCAACCAACAAACCAAAAAAAAACCAAAAAACCCACAAAACCCAAAAAACAACCCAAACAACAACAACAAAAAAACCAAACAAAAAACCCCACAAAACCAGAAAAACCCCAGAAACCCTCAAACCAAAAAGGCACAATTTCTGAGGATGTATTTCTCTATAATGAAGGCCATTTATCTACTAAAGGACTAAAAAGTTGAGAAAAGCTGAGTATGCAAACTCTGTAGGTGTGTCTGAGCAGCTAAAACTGCAGCTATTAATGATAATAAGTGCTACAATTTGTAATTAAATCAATAGATTTAGCAAGTTATGCATTTTTTCTTTATGAGAATGTTTTGGGGTTTTTTTGTTTTTTTTTTTTTCATCCAATATGTTTCTCAACTATGCAAACAAATTACTCTCAGGATAAGTTCAGCCCACTAAATATTCATTCTGGTGCATGAAAACTTCAGACATTTGTGATCATTTGACAATGGGAAATTAGAATGAAATTTCTCTGTGTTCAACTTGGTTTAGATATGGTACAGGTGTGTCTGTGCTTTGTATCCCTGCCTCCAGTCTGTTTTCACAAAAAAACTTCTCAAAACCATCATTAACAACTTACTTTCTATAATTAGTCATAATTATGATGTACATTATAGATGAACACATTAAAGAGCAAAGATGGATAAAATTGTGGTTTCGGTCTAATGGCTGAGGAAGACAGAGGAAATTATCTAGTACAAGTCTTTGAAAGAAGTTTAAGCATTTAGCCAACAGTCTGTTACCATGGGTGTTGGGCACCAAAAAATCTTCAGTTTGTCACTATGAGTTTAGGTAGCACAGACMTCTCTTTAACTGATTTCTTCTGGTTAAACAAATAACAAAGAGTTYGATTGCACCAAAGAGACCAAAGAGCATTCAGTGAAAGCCATGCCTTTGGTCATTTTCTCTGGACTTGAATTCCTACTGAAGTTTGGTTTAATTCTCATATATCATTGTTATAAATTATATATACATATTTCATGGTTATTAGATTATTTAGTTTTAGTTTCTTCTTACTCTTAAGTTCTTAGTGTCACCSTGTTGTTTATACAATTGGCTTGTGACTTATGTACAAAGAAAGCCCAAAAAGATCGTATAATGCATGTATTTTTCTGTAGAAGTCTTTCTACTAAGGATTATTGCTATTCATTTCAAATTTACAGTGTCACTTCATTTGAAGATCCCAGTGAATTTTTAGGTTTGTATTTTAGCTCTGAAAATAATTTTAAACAATCTTGGCAATAGCAGAAAAAAGGCTATTGGGTATATAGCTTATTTGTCTAATCTCTAAATAGCTTAAATGCTAAGGCTGTAAAATAAATTATGTATGGCTTGAATTTAAATGAACAACGAATGCTGGTCTTCCTTTGGGGAACAGCTTTAATTTAAAAAAGAAAATTATGTTTTTTATGTAACTCTCAGTTGGGAATGCATTTGTTAGAAAAATAACTACAACTACTTGGTGTTTTGAAAATATGGCTTTGTTTAAGCTGGAGGCTCAGTGAGAAATCACCATACAGGCAATTCCCATCTAAGAACTGAGCTACTGATGCACCTAGCTCAGCTGGATTAGTAAAGACAAGACTATAAATTGAGTTCTTGTAAAATGTGTCTCAAAAAAAGAACATATGCAAGRAGGAAGTTGTGGATAATTTGTTCTCCTTTTCACTGCTGTGGGGCATGAAATCCCATACGAGCACCACTGCATAAATTGAAACTTGGCTTTGGTGGATCAGGGCTTCATTTATCTGTTGGATTTTTTTGGTCTCTTTATTTCTAGACRTCCAGCAAAGCAGCTTTGTTCTGCTTTCCTATTATCGTAGATTCATTTTCTCATGGCTCTGGGCTACTCTGTGGAAGAATAGTGGCACTGCCAGTTTTGATCTATAGATCTTTCATGTAGACATTGGAATTTCCTCCTCCCCTGCTTATAGACTTGGCAGCCTCAGAGCTGTGAGTAGCCAGCCTTTCCTGGGATGTCTTTGCCAGGTTGCCTCCTGACATACATCAGGAGCTTCGGTGCTAGGAAGATCACCCATCTTCTCTAATCTGAGCAGTAGCAAGGCAACCTCATCCTAACCCTTTTCCTACCCCAGGTGTGGCGTAGTCACAGTTTTCTGTGTAAAAGGGTGAGTTATTCCTCTGACGTGTTCAGACACTTCTGCATCTGTGCTGTCTGAGGGTGCCATTCCTAGCATTAAGTTTCTAAAGCCTAAGTTTCATTTGTGTGACAACAGGATCTGTGCTGTTACTGCTACTTCTCTATTTTGAAGTAGTATTTGACAGTTTCAGCTTTATTTTTTTTCCTTTTTTTTGTCTCTTGCATGCCAGCTTGACACTTCAGACACTCCTTAGGCCTTGGGTGGTTTTTTGTGTTTTTCTAGGTTGGTCATGGAAGGGAATTATTCTTTATTGAGGTGAACCTCCTTAACTTCAGGTGTTTGGTTAAGCATTCTAGTAAACTGTGGAGCTTTCTCTGACTTCAAAGAGATGCTTGCCAATAAAGCTGACATTGGTTTCAGTGGGTCAAGGTGCAATCTCCTGAGGTGATCAGGAGACTGTTTGGGAGAGGRGAAGATCATCAGGACATTTGGACAYGTGTCACAGAAGAAACCCTTCAGATGATGATGTTAGAGCACTGATCACTTTATGCAATAACACCACATGAAAAGCTCTGTATCCCATTATAAGGTAAAACACTTCTGGGACCAACCTCTGTCTTAGTCTCCTTACAGATGTAGTTTTTGTTTTCCCAGATAATGCAGCTGTCTGCTTCAAAGGGACAGTGAAGAATAAAAAGTATGACCATGACTTTTCAACACATGCCTCCTAAAAAAGTTGYGTGTGTGTGTATACTCAGTACTGCTCTCTGATTCTTTGAACTGTGTAACTCCAAAGAGCTATTCTAGGAACTTTTTGTACTCATGCTGGATGTTTTCAGCTTGGGTTAGATTTCTCAATCTTTGAGGATTTTATTGGCATTACTTACASACCAAGAACTATTCCACTCTTAGAAAGAGCTTTGGTATTTGTCTTAAAGGTTTTGCCATGCATAAAAGGGAAAAACTGTTATTTCTATTGATTCACCTTCAGACCACGYAGCAAATTCAAAGAGAAATAACTAAGTGAATAGAAATTACTAAATGGCAGAAAGGAACAAGGAATATGTTCCCAGGCCTCAATCTGAAAGGTCATACACCTGGCATCTTTTGAATGTCAAGCCCGAAGATGAGAGAGCACTGTAAATAAGCCTTTGCATGGCTGGTTGGCAAATTCCCTCACTCGCTGTTGCTGTCCTTCCTGTCAGGATCTGTCACTGTGAGGGAGATGATGAAAGCCCCCTCATCACGCCGTGTCGCTGCACGGGGACCCTGCGCTTTGTTCACCAGGCCTGCCTGCACCAGTGGATCAAGAGCTCGGACACGCGCTGCTGCGAGCTCTGCAAGTACGACTTCATCATGGAGACCAAGCTCAAGCCTCTCCGGAAGGTAGGGTGCTTTGGGGTTTAGTTATCCTCAAGTATCAGAGCTCCAGGATGGCTGTGTAAAGTGCAAGCACAGTTAAAGAAACGTCTGTCCAAAATGCCTTTGTATTTGCTGTTGTWAATCAGTCCCGGTGGTTTTATTCTGACATTTAAGTTGGTTAATTTCAGGCAGCAGAGGATTTGACTAAAGACTCACTTTCATCACACGTACAACATAAATGCACCAATGTGTTTTGGTTTCGTTTTTTTTTCTTCACCTTTTTGTTATTGCTTCATCTGCCTATTTTTAAGCGAGAGGGAAACCTTGTCATGTTTTGCTCCTGAGTAACACAGTCCAGGTCACCCCCTAATTTTTACATGGAGCCTGTAACTTCTGGTTGAGAATGATGCTTATACCAATGTGGAGACAGCAGTTAGGAAGTAACACAGTCAATTTARCTGCATCTGTTGTAGCTGTTATACTCACGGGCAAATTAATCACTTGCACATTAAAATTAGTTAATGGAATTTAAAATTCAGGGTGACCTTGCATCTGGAATGTCAAATGTATGTTATCTGCACTCATCTGTTTTCTAAGATAAATCAACATAATGCTACACAGACTGTCACTATAGGGAAGGTGAAGAGTTTATTAAACATATGTGGGTTCTGTTTTCTTTGGAATGGATGATTTCTCTTTGAATTTTTATTTTAAAATGCTCTCATCCTTCTGGAGTTTTGTTGAATCTTTGAAGTTGGAGTCAATCTGGAAAGTTYTGATTTAAAATAAATTTTAGAGCAAGAGCCCTTGAAAAACATGTAGAAACTATTGCTTTTGACTAGCATTTGCCTATATAGTAGTGTTTTAATGGCAAAAGACAGTTTGTTTTTATCAGTCTTACATAGGTAGCAATAGTTTAGAGAAAGGAAAATGAAATCAATGGAATTCCTTCATACTTCCCATTCAGAGGAATTTTCTAGTAAGTCCCTGGTGATAAACCTCTTCTGAAGAGAGAATTTGGGCTAATTTGACAAGCAAAGCTTGTGATAGGAGAAGACGGAGCTCTCAAATGCCWGGTAGATCTGGCCATGTAGGCTAGAAATTGAAACAGATGTAAATAGAATAAAAAGATGGCTAAAAACTTAATTGTATTGACTTAGGTTTTAGTAATTATAGGAAATTTTAACTAATGTGACAGGATGAGATAATTGTATACAAAACCCTGCCCGTAGCGTATCTGTGGGGGATTTTTTCAGTATATATTCCTATTTTCAAACCAAATTGCTTTAACATTTCATCTAACAAGTATTCTCAAAACAGTTACTTTTCTCAAGAGAATACACAGAGAGTGGTATTTTTAACAAAAGCCCTTTCCTGGTTTTGTAGATAATACAGCATCTTTTATAAAAGGGAAACAAAAATTATAGGAACCAAGGGGAAAAGGAATGAAAAATGTGCATAACTCGATATTAGCAGTGGGCACWTTTAACTCTGTGTGTGGGTCATTGCCCCCTCTCCTCCCCCATTTAGAGTGGTRGTGTAATTCCTGCAAGTCTGTAATTTCTTAATTGAATGATTGCCACTTTATTCAGCTTATTGTTTTAGATTTCTGACACAGGAAAGATTAACCTCTTATTTCAGGCAGGATATTTTTGTTTCTGCTCAAAGCAGCACTCAAAAGTAGTTYATCTGCCTGGCAGTCTATGCTGTCAACATTCCTTCAAATGCAATGCTAACAAATATTTGTTTGTGTAGAATGGGCCCAGAATCTAATTATAAGTCATTTCTTGTAAGTCACACCCATTTCAGAAACCAAAGTTTCCAAAGATTTCAAAGTTAAAATTAGTTGTTCTTTGTCATTTATASCATGCAACTGTGACACCCTTCACATTACATTTAATTAAGCATACGATCCTAAGTGTGAGCACTATCATCATCATCATTCACAAATTTATAAAACACTGAACAGTTTATGAGAAGCTGTTGTGCAAACCAAATGTTTTAACAGCTGTGGGAAAGCCAAGGTAAGGGAGGAAAGAGTGATCATGAGACCTGCCATATGAGTAGAGCTGACTCGTAAATTTCCACCCAAACATCCTTTATAAAAATCACTGAAACTGCTTTTTTTGTAGTTTTTTTCTTTGACAAACCTGTATACTTTGAGAAAGTGGAAAGTCCCAATGAAACACTGTCAAATTTCTCTGCAGCTTTTATGAAGCCCAAAATTTCAGCTTTGAGACATTCMTTGGGTTTCTGTGTTTTCAAAAGATTGGCAAAATGGTGGCTACCAGATACCAAACTACTGTGGGACAGGCAGCTCCTAACACCAAAGCTCTCCTTGATGCAGGTTCTGAAAAGCAGTACYGACTTTGGCATTTCCAGACCGTGAGAGATTTGAGGTTTACTGAGGCTTGGTTCTGTTCTAGACCTCAAGAGGCTTCAGTCTCCAGCACTAAGTCTGGCCTGTCCGCAATGAATCAAAATTTCCAAACTTCTGAAATTCTCTTGTCRTGATGGCAGGGCCATTATGAGCACTTATATCTGAAAACAGTGCAWTTCTTGTCAACTTTGTTGTATGCCAAATGCAACAGCAAAATTGACCAAAAAAAAAATTATTAATTTTGCTAATAAGCTTTGAGGAATTCTGAAAACAGATTTCTTTTCAGTGYTTCCTAAACAGAAGACCACATAATTTGTTTCAAGAAAGGAGTGCCCATTCATTTCCATAAGAAAGCAATTTATTAAAAAAACAAAGGAAATTATTTCCCCTGAAGTGAAATCTTCTGGCTAGCTCCATATGATGCGATTTCCATGGCCATTAGACCTGGATTTGAAGTGTCATTCTCCTAGTGGAAGGGTCACATCTCTTAACCAGTTCTGGTTTTTTGATTTTTAATCTCTCTCATTACTCATGATGTGAGATTCTAAAGTTTGGTCCCTGACTGTGCTTTTTTTCATTATGATGAATTTTATCATAATGTCTTTGTAAAATTTCTGCTGCTGATCTCCCAAAGAGAAAAAATTACAGACTACCGAACTTAGTTACAGGAATCTATATTTTTGCATTTTGCAGYATCACAAAAGCATGATTTAAATATGAAACAAGCTATTTAATTCAATAGTGAATTACAATCTTTATTTATGCCTCAGCCTTTCATGCACCCTCAATGTTCCATAATGGATTTTTAACCAAAGTCTAAGGTTTTATAGCACAGTCGTCGGATGAATATCATGCCATATCTGTTAGCACCTATAAGTGACAATGTAGAGCATACTAMGTTAACATAAATTAAGATAATCACTCTTAAATCAATAAGTTTGTGCCAAGGTGCAACTGTTACTTAATTAGAGAATCCCTGAAAGCACCAGACATCAAATAAAACTTAGATTAATCATTTTAGTGTGTCTTTGCATTGTAATAATCCTTTTAAGCATCGATCAACAGACATCACAAGTGTTTCATGTATCTGGACAGGTCTAATTACTTGGCTCAGGATAAATTTAGAGATTAAATATTAAGCATTKCTTAGTGTTTCTGGTTTATTTCTCATGGTCTCTGTTACATCTGTCTGTCATTATAAATAGTACAGTTGCACCTGTAGCTTTGCYTCTCAGCATCTGCAATCCATGATGCAGAATTTATAACGTGACTTTATCACAGAAGGAATTAGAAAGTGGCAAGAAGCTTATGTGAGTTCCTTGAGTTTCATCCTGAGATAAAACATTTCTTTAAAAAAGATACAATCCTGGAAAATATCACCTGCATTTCATGTCTCTTGAATTTGGTGTTTTAAGACTGGTAGAAACAGGAATCAAATGAAAATACTGTGGATATGAAATGGATTAAAGTGTCAAATTAAAAGGAGCTTTAAATGCAGAAATGTCTTTAAATGGAGATTTCTCAACAATCTCTTGGTATACTTCAAAATGCTTTTCATATATAGATTTTGCTATCTCTTTATGACATCTGATTTCTGATGAGATGTCTTACTTTCATACATTACCCCACCAAATTATTGTGTGGTGTCAGAGATGTCTGTTTTCTCTCCCAGGTTTATTTTTGAAATTATTTACAAATTACATCTTATTTATGTGAGGCATAAGCAATATTACACATTGTTACCATGTGGTTGCTCTTGGTCATTGAGGCAGAGTAAGTTGATATTTTTTGTTTAGGGAAGCATTAATTACCAGTTGAGGTTATTATTCTTTCTGATAAAAAAGATATCTGAATTTCTCCCTTTCAAAAAATAGAGGATTGGGACTTTTAGTAGAGAGTGATATATGTCTATTAAATTAAACAGAAGCAAAAGCAAAAGCAAATGCTGACAATGAAATAAGAAAACCAGAATGCTGCTTTGGGAGCTATGATTGGCAAAAGGAAAGTCTAAAGTGAATCTTTAAATCCTATTTTTCCCCCAGACTTCCTTTATCAGCAGGGACATGTCTGCTTCTGCTCCCTCTATTGGAGTTATGGCTTCACTGCCTTTTTTTTACAAAACAGTTGAAGTTGATAAAGCACTATTCTAAAGCACTATTCTAAATTCAGTTGTTAAGAGATCTTACATAAAGCATGAGAGAGATGGATTCAGCTCCCTTCTCTGTGCTCAACACAGCTCGGAGAAAATGTTAAAAAATATGACTGGAGGAATTAATTTATAACCAGATACTTTGTGGATCAATCTTTTATTTATAAAATCTGGTAGCATGCATGAAAAATTCAGTGATGGCAAAATATGTTAAGGCTGGTTTTTTACTTTTAGGTCAATGGTAGCTTGGTAATTCATATTTATTTTCCTTATTTAAGTGTATGGAGATAACTGCCAAAAGTCATAGAATCTGCAGGGAAATTTCTGTGATAAACTGTTATGAAATCAAAAGTGCTCACCAYCAGAAACGACTTCTGCCAGAGCAGGCTCTCAGATCCAGAAGTGACCAGAAGAGTCTCACAGCAAAAAAGCCCAAACTTTTGAGCAGTCATTACTGTATTGCTTGCTGTTCAATTCTTACTGCCCTGTGCTGTG